CGCCATTACCTCTCTTGGGGGGGGGGGGATTAGCCTGTGCCCCAATTTACAGATGGGGAAACCGAGGCACAGAGCAGGGCCCCAGCGTGTTGAGGCCATGCTGCGGATAATAGCCCGGGAGCGCCGGTGCTCAGAGCACTAGGCCGCGCTGCCCTTCACCGCAGCTCTGCCCTGTCAGCCCTGCCCAACCCTGCTCTTCTCGGATGAGAAGCTGGCACTCACCCTGCCTCTTGTGCCAGGCAGCATTTCCCTGGGGCATGGCACCACAGTGCCCCCGGCAACCCATGAGGTATTTGCCCGATGCCAACTGGAGGGGGGGGAGCGCCGCCAGCCGAACAGCTGGGGGCTGGGGTCTCCCCTCCGCACGCTGCCCATGCCTGGCCCTGCTTGGCGGGCGCAGCCTGCGTGGGTGGGGGCTGCTGGCGTTTGCAGCCCCTCCCCCAGCCTGGGGCCGCAGTTGCTGAAGGTTTTGCTTGAGGAGCTCCTGGGTGGGGTGGAAAATCGGGGTGGGCGGGACAGCGACCGGCCTGGGAGAAACTAGCAGCCCTTTGTCCCAGGGCCTGACCTCAGTGGCAATTCAACCCACAATGCTAGGGAAACAAACAGCCGGGGCTCCCGCGGGGTGGGCCTGGCTCCCTAGCTGGGGCGGCGGAGGAGGGAGCGGGCGTCTTTCCTGGCAGGGGTCCCTGCAGCCACAGGACAGAGCAACCGGCTGAGCAACGCTCTCGCCAGGCCTGATCCCCAGCCCCATGTGGGCTCCTGGTGCCGTCAGTGGGGCAGGCCTGGGGGTCGGTGTGTGGCAGGTGGGGAGACGGGAACCCTGTTCTAATGAGTGCGGCTGGCGACTGACCGGGCACAACTGGGCTGGGGCTCCTGTGAGATGCTCTGTGTCTTCCTCCTCCTCCCCCGCCTGCCGCCAGGGCTCACCCCACAGCTAATCCCCAGCTGCCAGCGAGAGGCACGTGCTTCCCACGGGTACCCCAGAATCCTGGCCTGCCCCTAGCCCCCTGCCCCTCTAGACGGGCCCTCCAGCGGGCGCTGCTCCAAACGGATCAGTCAGCTGGTGCCCAGGTGCCCAGGTGCCCGGCTGGGTGGGCATGGGGCACGGTGGCTGTGTGGGGCCAGAGCTTCTTGGAGGCTGATTGTGGGGGGCCGGGCACAGCCCTGTGCCCACTCCCTTGGCACATTTCCTTGGCACAGCACAGCTGGGAGCACCAGCCAGCAGGACGTTCGCTGACCCCCTTGCGGCTGGCTGGGGAGACTGGAGTTGTCTCAAGCTGGGGATCGGGGTGGAAAGGCACAACAGGGGGAACCCCTGCCCCAGAGCTGTCTGGGGGCCATCAGGATTCCTGGGTTCTAATCCCGGCCCTGCCATTGCCTCCCTCTGGGACACCTCCCAGCTCTGTGCCTCGGTTTCCCCAGCTGTAGCCTGGAGGGGGTTGGGAGGATGGGGAGGTTAGTGCTTGTGTGGCGACGAGGCTAGGGAAGGGTTAAGTGCTGGACAGCACCAGACGGGACCCAAGGCCCTCCATCCGTGGGGTGAGGTACATGCCTGCAGCTCCGTCGTGCCCTGGGGTCATGACGGGTGAGGGGGGCTGATCTCACCCTACCCCATAGTCTGTGGGGCAGCATGGACAGTGGGTACAAAGCTGGGAGGAGGGTGGGACTCGGTGGCTGGTGCTACCCGGAGGTGGGGCTGTTTGCTCCCCGATCCCAGGGCTGTGGCCCGTGCAGGGTGGTCCGTGCAGGCCGAGCGCTGGCTCCTGGTGAAATCGACACGCCCCTGTTCCATGCAGCGCTAGCGGGCCCAGCCGAGGGCTGAACGATAGCGGGACCCAGCGGGCCGGGGCTGAGACGAGTTTACCGAGCAGCAGGGGAGCAGTTCAGACTGGCCCCTACCAGCAGACAGGTGGGGTCTGGACCCCAGACCCCTGCTGAGCCCTGTGTGCCTGGAGCAAGGGGAGACGCCGAACTGTCCCAGAAATCGGCTGGAAATGCGGGTGCTCAGTGCTGGCTGCCTTGTGAGCGTGATTCAACAGGGGGCGCTCTTCCCTCCAAGGGTGTGAGCCTGGGTGGCCCTGTTCCCATGGCAGCTCTGAGCTGCCCCCGCCCAGTACCGAACGCACGGGGCAGGGACTTTGCGTCCTCTCCTGCTCTGTTAAGCAACATTGCGGTGGGCTGTTAAACAGCTGCTGTGCTCCGCTCCAGAGGTGGCTGCATTCCAGTGGCGGGTGCTGTAGTCACTTGTAAAGGGTCTCTGGGGTGGAAGGAGGCCGGGGAAACGCTGGGCCAGTTGGGGTTTGACGAGATGCCTCAGAGGAGGTTTGCTTGGGCCCAGACGGTGCAGGGCCTGTAGGACACAGAGCTACAGGGTTTGTCAGCCGGCACCGGCGAGGTGCCAGGAACAGCTGCTGGCGAGTCATGTGGCCGCCCCAGGCTCGGGGCTGCTGGTTAAAGAAGCAAAGATCAAATGAAGGCCCGGGCCACGGCTGCCCGAGCGGCGCTCCCTGGGCGCGTGATGTGGAGGGTGGGGAGGGGGCCGGGGGCTTGGCATGATGGGTAGATCCCTCCCTCCCAGAGCCAGCGTGTGGCCAGGTGCCCCCGTCGCTCCCACGGGGGTCGGGAGCCAATATCACTGCCAGTGAACTGGTGAAAGAGGGTAGGGTGGTGGGGGCTGGGCACCTCCCCCCACAACGCTGCTGGTGCCCCTCACTCCCGACCCGCAGCCCCCTGCTAGCCCAGCCCTGGGCTCCCTCCTCCCAATTCTGCTGGTGCCCCTCACTCCCGACCCGCAGCCCCCTGCTAGCCCAGCCCTGGGCTTTCTCCTCCCAATTCTGCTGGTGCCCCTCACTCCCAACCCGCAGCCCCCTGCTAGCCTAGCCCTGGGCTCTGACACCTCACTCCCCCCAATGCAGCTCCTTGTCCCTTGTGATCCTACCCAGAATTTGCACCCAGGTCTGTGCTGGGTAGAACAAGGTTCTGGGCTGGATGGGCGAGTGGTCATCCCCAGGGGGCCAGTCTCCCCCCATCCTCAGGGCCCTTCCTGCCTCCTCACTGCAATCGGCCGACTGGCGGAGTGCTGAGGTGCGGGGGGTGCCAGGGTCATTGGGCTGCAGGAGTGGGGGTGTCGGGGTGTCGTGGCCCCACGGGTGTGACTAGAGCGTGTGCGGGGCCCTGGTGCTGCAGGCCTCTCGCCCGTGGCCCTGGGGTGGGGCCGCACGAGGTGTGGGTTGTGATACTGCCTCTTGCGGGGGAGCCGTTGCAAGCAGTGGAGAGGTCGCTGGGGGCCTCCATTTCTGTGCCCGGGGTGGTTTGCGCTGCCCCCAGGAGCTGCGGGTGGGCGCTCAGGGTGGCGGGTCGCTTTAGTCTCCATTCTGCTGGGAGGAGGAGGGGAAGGGCCTGTGGCCTGCCCCAGTGCCCCCATCACGGGATGCCCACAGGGGCAGCGCCTGGGGAGGGGTCCCAGCCTCAGAACCGGGGCGTGGGGGCTACAAGGGAAGGTCCCAGAGGGGGGACGCCGGGCGTGGAGTCCGGGTCTTGCTTTGGACTGGAACCTCCTGCCAGCCTCCTGCCTATTGTCCGCCCCCAAACCTTTGGGTCACCAGGGTGGGCGAGGGAGGCAGTGTGTTGGGGGAAGGCCCAGGGCATGGGGGGGTCTGGATCCAGCAGCTGGACGTCCCTCTGCCCCACCCCACCCCGCCCCGCCCCGCCACCAGTTTGAGTCCAGCCTGGGTTGACTGGGACTAGAAGTTGTTCTGGTCAATGGCCAGTCCGTCTGCCTATCCAGGTCCTCGTCTGGGCCTCACACGCACTGCTGGGCCTGTCCTCCCGGCATGCCCTGATTCTGATCCCAGTTCTACAGGGGGAAACCGGGGCACGTGTAGGGCAGGGTCACAAGGAGTGTGGCAGAACTAGGGATTGAACCTAGCCTTCTGCCTTAGGTCAAGCCCATCCTTCCTGAGTGCAGCGAGTGGACAGGCCTCAGCCCTGGTCCTCACGGGCTGGCGGTCACCGGACCCAACCATGGCTGGGTGTCTGGCAGCTTGGTGGCAAGGCCCAGGGATACCTGGGCCCAGGGATACCTGCTTAGGGAGCAGCCCCTCCAGGACCTAGTGCCCCCTGGTTTGGTGCCTGGGGGAGCTCTTCCATGGGGGGCAGGAGGAAGAGGAGGGGCTCCGGCCCCACCCTGAGCTGGGCATGGCAGGGTGAGTCCGCCCGGCTGCCGAAGGGCATGGGGCTCTGCGTGGTTGTGGGGTGGGGCCATGGGGCACAGGGCAGCCCATGGAGGTCTCCTAGCCAAAAAGTTTGGCCCTCGGGTCTCCGCAGATGAGGGTTGCCCCTGGGCGGGGCCGTGGCACCACGGGTACATTTCTGTCTCAGCTGGGAAGGCAGAGCCCCCACCCATGGGGCTGGGGGTGGGGAGGGGCAGGAGTTACTGGCATCTGGCTGCTGTGAGTCCGTGTCTGTCCCCCGGGGTCCGTCTGTCAGGGCGGTTCCCAAAGGGCTGTTGCCTGGCGCTGTCTGCCACTGGCCCAGGGCTGAGCTAGCAGGGGCTGCGGGTCGGGAGTGAGGGGCACTGCCAGAGTTGGGGGTGGGAAGCCCCGGGCGGGGCTAGCAGGGGGCTGCGGGTCGGGAGTGAGGGGCACCGGGAGAGCTGGGGTGGGGGGGAGCCCAGGGTGAGGCTAGCAGGGGGCTGCGGGTCGGGAGTGAGGAGCACCAGCAGAACTGGGGGGCGAGCCCAGGGTTGGGGGGCAGCAGGGTGAGGGGTCTCTCATGAGCACCCAGTCCCCCCCCTGGACGAAGCTCCCTACCCTGAGCAGGGCAGCGACCGGGGTGAGCTGATCTCGTGGGTGGGCCGATGGACAAGGGGGATCCCCCCTCCTCCCCACCTTCATCCCCTTGCCGTGTGCTGGGCTGGGCCCCTCCCCACCCTGCTGCTCCAGGGCCAGGATCCCTGTGTTGCCCCCTCCCTTCGTGATTTTCTGCCCTCCCCCCCGCAGGAGGCCGTTTTGCTGCCTGGGGTGACCTGGATCCGAGCTGGCCGGGGCAGGTGGGCGGCCGGCGCTGCTGGTGAGTTGGGGCTGCAGCTGTGGGGGTGGGTCTGGGGCTGCAGCCTGGCCCCAGGGCTGGCCCATTGCAGAGCGGCCAGCGGGGGCTGGTCCGTTGGCCCCAGCCCCAGTGATCCCCTGACCCGGTTCCCCTGAGGTTCCGCCCGCGCCGGTGCCTCTGGTCCAGGCTCTTTGGGATGGGAAGGGGCCTCCCCGGCCCGGTGCCCGGGTCCCATGTGGCTCCAGGGCCAGGTTAAGTAGTCGGAGCGTCTGGGCCTGGCCCACACGGGGTTAACACTGGCCGGAGGAATTCTGTGGGGTGGGGGTGGATGAGCAGCGCTGCCCCCTGCTGGATGGTGCCACACCGCCATGCGCAGCCCTGGGAGCCGAGCAGCTGGGGCTGAGTGGGAATCCCAGGGGCACAGGGACGTCCGTCTGTCTGGGAGGGGAGGCGCTGGGGTCCCTGGTGGGAGGCACTGTGGTGCTGGCAGGGTGGCAGGCGCAGAGGACCTGGTGGGGGGATACTGGCAGGGTGGCAGGGGTCTGGAGGTGCAGGCAGGGTGGTGGGGTCTGGGGACCCTGATGTGGGGGGCACTGGGGCCCTGGTGGGGGGCACTGGGGGTGCTGGCGGGGTGGTGGGGCTGGGGGCCCTGGTGGGGGGGCACTGGGGGTGCTGGTGGGGTGGTGGGGCTGGGGGGCCCTGGTGAGGGAGC